TATATATATATATATATATATAGAGAGAGAGAGAGAGAAAGAAAGAAAGAAAGAAAGAAAGAAAGAAAGAAAGAAAGAAAGAACGAGCAACACAGTGACAGACAAAAAATGCATTTTTATGCACATATACCCCAAGGTGGTCTAATGGTTAGCAAGCTAGAACAATTACGACTGAGTAGTGAGTTCCATCCTCACTGGATAATTAACTTAATTTCGGCTTTGTGCCACATATAGCTACGCTTGGAAAGTCAATATATATATATATATATATATATATATATATATATATATATGTGTGTGTGTGTGTGTGTGTGTGTGTGTGTGTGTGTGTGTGTGTGGGCTCTCCCCCGATGTATGAGGATCAAGCAGCTCAGTTCATACAAACAACAGTCAGACTACCTACACATTATGATTTGATTAGACTGGTGAAGGTTTGTGCTGAACCAAACACAATTTTTGGAAGAGCTGACAGGTACACAGTATACCCACTAGATCCGGAAATGACCCTTCGTAGGTTTTGAATTCAGACTTGATCTGTTGCTAAACAGTTCGACACCCAACTCTATAGGATCCACACTGAACTGTTATTTACCTATAACAGGTGGAAAAGAGTTTTTATTCATTATTAAATTATAATTATGGGGAACCGCTGCCCGACGCCGCGCCATCTCATTGCACCAGACAGAGGGATCGATGATCGCACCGACGTCAACCTGACCTCGTGGGGGTTGAGCAAATACAATATATATATATATATATATATATATATATATATATATATATATATATATATATATATATATATATATATATATATATTGGAGCAGGTAGAATGGAGATCGACATGTTTTAGTGGACTCAGCAGTTATCAATCTGCTTGTCTGAATCATCTTCAATAAGCGAGAGCAAGATCTAAAAGGTCAACTAATCTAACATTGATCTCATATATCTTCACTCTTGCTCCATATGTGGCCTCCTTTATAAATTACTAGCGAGTCTTAAGTGCCACTTAAGATTATCCCACAAAATTTCATAACTGAATCAATTAAACTGCCAGTTCCTCATACGTCGAAACCAAGGGAGAGTCCATTATATATATATATATATATATATATATATATATATATATATATATATATATATATATATATATATATAGCATGTATTCATTTAAGCATAGTTTGGTTGAAAAATCTAAACATATTGTGTCTATTTATTTTATTTTAATCCTCTTGAATTCTCAAATCGACTCCTTAATGTTGATATTAAATTTGTCAAGGAAGGCGCTCTAGTTTCCTTCATTTCTTTTATTCTCCCTAAGTATTTTTAATTTTATCTGAATTTAAAATGAAGTCCACATCACTCCATCTGAGAAGGGCGAGATAGTAATCATAAAAAAGAATACATACATAGAAAAAATTAACTCACTACCCAACCATACCGACACATACGAAAAAATAGACAAACAAAAAATAACTACTGAAACACAGAAATTTAACATGAAAATCTGCAAACTAATTAAAAATGAAAACTGATCGTGGTACAGACCGATAGAATATCATCTCAGAATACCCAAACTTTACGGTCTCCCTAAAACCGATAAAACTGATATCCCAATACGTCTCATTATCTCAAGAATAGACAGCGCCTCCATAAATTGGCGAAAGACAATAAACATTTTCAAATTTCAATCAGTTCATCTCATATAAAGAACTCACAGTCTAGTTAAAAAATAAAGCAAATGAACGCATGGCCAGTCTAGATATTAGATCCAATGTCCAATATAGACCCATGTCCCAGTTGAAAAATGCCAAAATCTCCTAAAAATGCATCTAACACAATCAAATATAAAGCTCGCTCTATCAACAGCTAAAATAATAAAGATCTGCCATCTCATCACTAATCAATGCTACTTCACATTTAATAATGATTGTTACAAACAAAAATTTGGATAACCAATGGGGTCACCTCTTAGTGGAATGATGGCATGTATCTTCTTAGAATTTCTTAAGTTCGGTCCTTTCCAAAATATTTTATCCAAACAATCAACATACTTTCATTATATTGATGATGCTCTACTTATATATCCTCATGATACTGATTTACCTGACCTAGTAGATCAACTAAACAAAGCTGAACACACAATAGAATTTTACATACGAAATGGAAGAACACAATTCCTTACCTTTTCTAGATATGAAGCTACACCGTATTAACAACAGTTTAAAACTCGGTGTCCGCTGAAAATTAACCAACAAAAACGACCTAATAAATTTCTATTTCCATCATAACAAAATAAAATCAGACATAATCATCAGATTCTACCTAAGAGCACTAAGAATATGCAGCCCGGATTATTTACACAAAGAGGAGAAATACATTGCAAACACTTTCAAACTTCTCCGGTACCCTAATTATTTTATATTCAACTCGAAACAAAGGCCCACAAATGATTTCAAAACAGAAAAAAATTAAAAAAAAAAACAAAAAAAACGGCCCCTCTTGAGAAACCCAATGAATCAAAAACAAAATATTATCCTGCCGGCTAATTTTATCACATCTACAAGTGAAAATAATCTATCTAAACTCAACATAAAGTTAGTTACTACTACATTCAAAACAATAAAAGACTTAAGCAATACAAAACAAAACAATAAGCTAAAACCTGAAGGAGGAGTTTACTCTATTGCCTGTAATAATTGCCACAAAAAATACATAGGAGAAACCTCAAGGGTTCTAAATAAAATATTATATGAATACAAAAGGGACATTATACAAAATAATACAATCAAATGCGTTGGTTGCCTACCGTAACGAGATTGGCCCCAATTTTGAGATAATATGTGCTATTCTGATCAACGGAGAAAATAATTGACTACGACGTAAATGTCGAGAGAACGCCTTAATCGCAAGGTCATCTTACAGTAAATTTGCGCCTTGGGCTCTTACAAAATTTCACCATACTTGGCAGATTTAATATCACAGTGTGGTGTTCCTACTTTCAAAAGTGATGGAAAGAAAAAGATTCTAAATGAATTAGGCTCGATGAAAATAAAATTCTAAGACTCCCAGGAACCCTCTGTCGTGAAAATGTGTAGACGCACCAACATAACAAATTTAGTGCAATGAAGTCCAGAAGGCCAAAACACATCATAAGTAAACTTTACAGCCGTGACTCTTACACTTCATAATTAACTTCGTAACTTGGACTATAATCAGATACACTGTTGCATATTTTATTTTACTTTATATTATTTTATTAAATGAGTTATCTTTGAATAAAGGGAAGTCTCCCTTCTCATTAGTTAACCTATTTAGGGAGCTCTTCTCCCCCTCCTTTAAGCAAATGTTGCACATATTTTAATAATTGTGTTAATAATAATTAATGTTATCTTATAAGTATAATTGCTGTAAATTGTTACGAATTGTAATTGCTGTAAAATAAGGCTGCGAATAAATATCTTTTTCTTCTTCTTGCGATAAAAAGAGTGGGGGGAATTCACCATTCCTAGCAGATCTTCTAATATCAGAGAGTGGAATTCCTACTTACAAAAGTGGCGGAAACAAAAGAAAAAGAAAATGACTCTAAATGAATTTGGCTGATAAAAAATATCTAAAATTCCCTGCACTCTGCTTGTTCAGACTTCGTTATGTCATTTGCAGCTGCGTGCCATTGGAAAATGCTTGGCGTGCCACACGCGTCACGTAGGTTGCCGACACCTAGTACAGAACATATAGTTGAAAGGAATTTTGACATTTAAACAAATTTTATTGATAACCTATTCTTTTATTTTTATATAAAGTACTTCCAACATTTGTAATCGTTTTTTAGGGTTTTGTTGCATACATCGATTTTATAACCCAAATCTAACGAAAATTAGAACAGGCTTCTTCTAATTAAACTACAGAGGAATAAAATGAAAGAAAGCCGGAATAAAATTAATAATAGATGCTTAATGTTAAAAATTTTAATATTACAATCTCATTGAAAGCTTGTATTTTTCCCTTATGATTACAAAAATTACCTTGCTTGGTTTGGTTTGGTTTATTTTGTTTTACGGCATATCAACCTCAATGGGTTATTTAATGCCGACAACATTTTTAGGATAGATTCGTATGAATAGAATATGTATTCTTTGGTTTAGATTGGTTTGGTTTATTTTGTTTTACGGCATATAAACCTCAATGGGTTATTTAATGCCGACAACATTTTTAGGATAGATTCGTATGAATAGAATATGTATCCTTTGGTTTAGATTGGTTTGGTTTATTTTGTTTTACGGCATATAAACCTCAATGGGTTATTTAATGCCGACAACATTTTTAGGATAGATTCGTATGAATAGAATATGTATTCTTTGGTTTAGATTGGTTTGGTTTATTTTGTTTTACGGCATATCAACCTCAATGGGTTATTTAATGTCGACAACATTTTTAGGATAGATTCGTATGAATAGAATATGTATTCTTTGGTTTAGATTGGTTTGGTTTATTTTGTTTACGGCATATCAACCTCAATGGGTTATTTAATGTCGACAACATTTTTAGGATAGATTCGTATGAATAGAATATGTATTCTTTGGTTTAGATTGGTTTGGTTTATTTTGTTTTACGGCATATCAACCTCAATGGGTTATTTAATGTCGACAACATTTTTTTGTTGCTAGTAATATTTTGTTTTGTCAAAAATCTGTTTCTGGTAATATTTTTCTTTTAAAATTGTATTGCCGGCAATATTTTTTTTCAAAAATGTATTGCTGGTAATTGTTAACTTTTTACCCATAGCTGGGACCCTAACAAGTGCTACTACCCTGGGTCAGAGCATACCTGGGAACACCAGCAATTAAGAGGTGGTTCCACGCTCCTCAAAACCTCCTGATCAGAGGCTTTGCTGCTGGATGTAGTTTATCGTTTTAACCACGACGTACTTTGCTTGGACATGTACATCAAAGAATCATCTCTCACTGGAATAGAAGAATGATAGAATTGTCTAAACTCACGTTCTGAAGGAAAGTCCAGTTGCCGAAAAGACGATCTTTCCCGTAGTTGGGCATAGAATTTAAAAATGAATCATTTGGTGAGAATGCCGTGAAATACGTGTCTGTGCTGTTGTGGTTAAACATGTCCGGCAAAACGACCGCAGCCTCGTTGATGGATCTGTTCAAAATAAGAGAGAAAAGAAATTAAAGCGTATTGACATGGAAAATTGAAATATGTTTCTCGCCACACAAAAAACATAAATAAATGTATTCATCCGGTTCACTAAAGCATCGCTCTATACCATTACACTACTTTTTGCTTTTACGTTGGAACAGCATCAAGTTTGAGCCGTACATTTTACTATTCCTATTTTTGTCTTATCCGTCAGTCAGTCAGTCATGTGCCATGCGGGATATACGCGTAAACGATCATGTATATTTCGATACATGACTGACGAGGCAGACTTTTTTCCTGCAGTTGCCATCCAAAGGGTCAGTCAGTTATGTGCCATGAGTGATACACGTTTAGGCGATCATCTATCTTTCGATACATCACTGACAAGGCAGACTTTTTTTTCTTGCAGTAGGTCGCCATTTCTTTCTGCGATAGACCAGCTGCCATCCAAGGCTATAGAACCCGGTCTGTCCTTCTATTTACCCATTACTGGGGGTGGGGTGGGGAAAGAGGATTCATACCTTTCCAAAGGGTCAGTCAGTTATGTGCCATGCATGATACACGCTTAGGCGATCATGTATCTTTCGATACATGACTGACGAGGCAGGCTTTTTTCCTGAAGTTGCCATCCAAGGGTAAAGAATTACACTATTTACCCATAGCATGTGGGGAGAAGAAGAGAATTCATACCTTTCCCAAGATTATTTTCATGTAAGTGAACGTAATAGATTCAACTGGAGTTCGAACTCGGTTCTCCGATTCCTCAATCCAAGCCGCTATCCATTACTCCATCGTGCTTCTCTTTGTCTTATACAAAAATTTATTTTGAATCATTTTTTAAAACTAAACTAGAATATTATACCGATAAGAGGTCGCCTCCGCAAGAGCTATGTTTTGAAAGTTTATCTCCAACTGAATAATGATCCGCACTAAGTGACCATTTTAATACTATTCAGTTAATACAAAACCCAAGAGCAACTTAAAGTAGGTTGTTGTTGAATTAGGTTGTAGTATGTGTGTTAGAATAGAAGGTAAGTTCATTGTATAAAAATACATAGGATAGATAATGGCTGATCGTAGACATGAAAGGTTTTAAGTTCGTAGTGATCGAGGAAGTATACTCTCGGGAGACTGTTCCACAAAGTAGTGGCTTTTGAGAATAAATTGTCTGAGTTGAAATTCCTTCTTAACAACGGAATACGAAGGAAATAACCCTGTGTAGGTGGCATGGCGAATCCCAGCTGTGAAGGAATACGATAGAAGAAACTGTTAGCATAGAACTTACGGTTGCATCTAGCCATTTCAACTGTAAAAGGATGAAACCTTACCTCCAATCTAGTACCACGCTTAAATTCATGACAATTTGTCGGAAGCATTGCCATGGAATTATTTATAGAAAAGCCGCAGAGAAGCTACATTACGGTTTAGTGATTGAACATTGCAGATTTTATAAAGGATCTCTAAATATATATCAGGACCAAATGTGGCATCAATATTCGAAGTAGGGATGGATGGTAGACTTATAAATATGTAAGATAGACTCTGGTGAGAAAAAATGTCAAGCACGACATAGAGAACCAACTTTCCTAGCATCAAAACTAGCAATTGATTCAATATAATCTTTCTACTTCAATGTCTTGATAAAGTCCTTCAGAGGACGATAGACGTCGGCTAAGTATAGTTTCTTCTTGTCTCTTTTTATTCATATATATATATATATATATATATATATATATATATATTTTAAAAGTAAACATAGACGTCAACATTAGAGGCGACAGTCTGTTTCAGGCCAGACGATTGCATCTAACATGAAACAGACTGTCGCCTCTAAGTGTTGACTTCTATGTTCACTTTTATATTTACACTCGCTCTATGTCTGATATTGAGCACTTTACACTTTATTGAGCAATTAAAAGCATTAGATCTGCTTCATCTTCAAGCGAATTTTGGAATAACTTATTTTTAAATTTACTGAGTTTTAAACGCGCATACAATTCATAATTTTTTGTTTCCAAGGATACAGAGAAATCCAATCATTTAGACAGGGGCGGTAGCGTTTTCATTTTTTTTACTTATTATTGTATCAATTATGAGTTACGTTCGAAAAAGAGGTTAAGTCTAGGTAGGATAGGGGTGCATTTTTCAACGAACTTTGACATCCGTTCAATGCATGTCATCTGTTTTTTTTTTAATCAACGAGGAAAAGTTTTTCGGCATTTTTTTCCCGTTAAATTACTTGTATAGATAAAGATTCTTTCTAAAGGAGGTGTTTGGGGCAGAATACGTTATATTGAACTACTTATATATATATATATATATATATATATATATATATATATATATATATATATACTATTATATTAGAACATACAGGTTACTACTACAAAATTGAAAGTTTTGTTTCAACGCTTAAAAACACGTCTCATCAGGTAGTTAACAATGATGGTAATAAATGATCTAATCATTTCTTGCGTTATCAACAGTCTCTACAAGGCCAGCACGCTAAAACCCTCGGTCACGCGATGCTAGCACACCCACCCAAGGTTTCTATCTGCCCAGTTTCACTCAAAAGCCTTGAGTCAATCCGTCTGCTGGGACCGCCTCCACCAGACTGGACATCAAGAAGTCACCTTCATGTCAAATCGAGCATGGTGAGATTAGAACACGGTTCTAATGGTTAGAAAGCGAACGTTCTAAAGTGCCTATATATATATATATATATATATATATATATATATATATATATATATATATATATATGTATGTATTTGAATGACAACTTTAACATTTTTAGGCATTACGTACACAATTCCGGAAAATCCTTGTTGAAAAAACAAATATACTTAAACAAGAAAACAATAAAGAAAACTAAAAAATTCTTAAAGCTATATACATAAAACCGTTGAAACCTAACCTGAACAAAATAAACTATGAAATATCCACGAATATTCTTCAATGCCTATAATTGGTAAAAGAAGCCATTGGTTTATACCAATGGGTTCTCATACTTAATAATTCTCGAATTCACTCTCGCGCGGTCATGTGTGACATCATGAGCTGCGCTGCGATATTCGCTTCCGCGTCTCGTATACACGAGTTTTTCGTTGATTTGAAATTTTTCATGCAACAAAAACAGTCTATCATTGTTGTTTTGTCCGTGTGTTGTTTGTTTGTCATCTTTGATAATGGCTTATGTAAGCCGAAAGCTGAGATCGTATATAAACATGTATCAATATGGTGATTTCCTTTCGTCTTTCAATGATAATGTTATGAAGCTTATCAGACAATATAAAAGGAACTTACTTAAAATATATAGACAAATCTTGTCTATATTATTTAATGAAACATGCATCAATATACATATATATATATGTATGTGTGTGTGTGTGTAAACTGACATGAAGTGAAAAGATTGAATCAGTGTCAATATATATGTATATATATATATATATATATTGACGTTGATTCTATCTTTTTACTGTCAATCAATGTCAATATATATATATATATATATATATGATTCATTCTTTTCACTCCATATATATATATATATATATATATATATATATATAATGTGTAATTCGTGTGCAAACAAACTTGACTAGAACTCTTGAAAGTGAATTACTATTTAAAAATTGATCCCTCTGACCTCGCAGATTAAATTAAATTAGTAGACTCGAGAGGGAATCCTATAAAATATAACTTTCCGTATTCCTCCCACAAATCAAAACACTTTTTAAATATTTGTCTTGTTTGGCCTTGTACGCACTAAAGTGTTCAATCTTTGAAAATGTCAGAAATCATCTTTTCCTTCGTCCTCATTAATTCTAAGAAAACTTGATAAAAAAAAAGTCGGAATAATTCGCTGAATTTTGTCCCGCCCACCTCCAAATATTTGACTCCATCAATAATGAACAATAAACTGACATCAATCTTTATTATCTCTTAAATATGTGTTTCCTAAGTTTTTAGTCAATCAATTATATTTACTCTGAAAATAGTGTTTCGTTTATATGTTTGTATTAAGCACACAGAGTGTTTTTTTTTCCTTCCATCACTATGGCTGATGCTAACCTCCAGGAGATCAACTCATTACGCCTTCGTGATTCTAGATAGAAATTTGGTAACTATATATATATATATATATATATATATATATATATATATATATATATATATATATGGTATTAACATCGCACATTTACCTATATTTATCCATTTGATTATATACGTATTTTGGTCTTTTCAGTAAAACACTTTTATACGTGTAATTAAATCACCACGCAATATGCAAATAGCATAAGACTTCGAGATGTGTATTCAACGCAGGATATATATATATATATATATATATATATATATATATATATATATAATTTCGAGGAGGTGTAATGCTTAGCAACCTTGTCTCGCTAGATCAATTGCGACTGATTAGTGAGATCCTCACTAGGTGCCGCATGTTTCGGCGTTGAGCCACAGCTAGGCTTGAAAAACACTATATATCTTCTTATAGTATTTATATATATTATTTTAATTCTAAGAGATTATAATAAAAACATGTTGAAATCGTGACACAAAAGCTTTCATGTTTGAATACTTTCATTGTACTTCTTCAGTTAATGTAAACGGTGATTAAATTAATTTAACAAAATATAAAAGCAAAGTGTTACCTTTTTTCCGAAAGTTAAAGGAGGGGGAGGAAACATAAGGTCAGAATTAAAAATAGACTTGTGGATATGACTTGATTAACCAATTAAATGTCAGATCAACGCTAAACAGAAAAATAAGCTCAGAGGGTTGAGGTGGGTGAGTTATTTTTTGCATGTCATAATAAACCAAGATATCATTCATAAATTGCGGAAATACATACATACATATATATATATATATATATATATATATATATATATATATATATATATATATATATATATATATATATATATATATATATGTATTATGCACAGTATTTATTGAAAAGTCCCCAATATAAGTGATAGAGCTAACATACATACATATATATATATATATATATATATATATATATATATATATATATATATATCTTCATTCAAACATGTTTGGTTGAATAATCTGGATATATTATGTCTTGAATGATCTGTTATTTACGGCTTATCAACCTTTTGCAGGTTATTTAAAGCCAGAAAATAATTGTAGATCGTACGAACTATTTTACATTGTAGAGATTTACATATACAAATTCTACTAATTAACTCATCGCTGGCTAAAGATGAGGTGAATTCATACCTTTCCGAATGGTATTTACGCCCAAATATGTATATATATATATATATATATATATATATATATATATATATATGTGTGTGTGTGTGTGTGTGTGTGTATTGGACCCGGACTGAAATTGAAACCCGACTCTCTGATTCCCAATTCTGCGTTGTTATCCAATTACATGACCCGCACATGCAAGCTTAGAGCACCTGATAATACCAACTGACCAGGCTCGACGTTGCTTACGTTCAGTAATAGTACTAGAACCGGTGTTTCAACGAGCACGTGCATGTAGAATGAAGCTTTTATTTATGTCATATATGTAATTATTCAAGTACATTTAAATATACATAAAACTACTTTAAATATTCAGGCAGTATCGGTTCATGCCGTCCAATTTAATATTCGAACTGACGTTTCCTTTAAATTAATTTATTCTCGTACCTGATTCCATATTCCGAGGCATTTCTACCTCTAGAAATATATATGAACATTTCAACTCGACATGAATCTCTTCTTTTCTCATGACTAGATCGATAAAAATGAACGTCTTCACGATTTTGTAAGAGTTCTCTTATTTTTTAGTAGATCAACAACAAAGTCTGCCATAAGGCCGAAATTTGGTGGCAAATTAAACCTAAGCGTCCATGTAAAACTCGTGTCATGTTCTTAAACAGCCTCGTCAGACCGAGACTTTCATATGGGTGTCATGTCTTTGGGAACGGTGATATAAACTGTTTTGTCGAAGGGTAAAGTTTCGTCCGGGGAGGTAGACAGGCCCTGAACCCGTTTATACGGGATCGAAGGGAATATTTTTGGCCGAGCCTACGGTCTCGAAGAACCCACTGTAAGCTCGCCATTGTGCCTCATACATCCCTCGTTTTGTTAAATATAAGAGTGAATAGATTGTTCAACTGTCGAACTCTGCCTTGAGCGGAAAGGAACCCGGACGAGGTAGACAGACCCTGAACCCGTTTATACGGGTTCAAAGGGAATATTTTTGGCCGAGCCTACGGACTCGGAAAACCCACGCTAAACTGGCCTTGTGCCACATACGACTCACTTGGGAGAGCGTTAAATATAATGGGTGTCAACGCTCAGCTGTATATAACCGCTTTCTCGGATCAATAGTTTAAAATGTCTTCAAACGAATGAATATAAAGAATCTAGTTGAACACATCAAAACTGTTTGTCGACGTTATATTAGGTTAGTGCTCAATAGTAAAATGATCCATGGTTAGTATGAGACTGATCTTGGACAAAAAATAATCCCAATACTGAAATTAAGATTAGATCCAAAATTCAAGAAAAATCCCAAGAAAGGCGAACTCTTATTTACATTATTCAGACTATATACGCTCAGGCCTTCTTCAGGTGGTTGGAAAGTTGAACTGAACCCTTTATTTCACTCACTGGGATAGACTGTTCTAGTTCCACGTGCCATGTTTAATGGATGTCAGTTACAGTTATCCCATGTTAATTTCCCTCTGAAAGTTCTCCACTGCCTTAACTGGGTATTGAACTCACACTCTTTGGGTCCTGTCACTGGATCTAACCAACGCCTTTATCCACTGTGCCATGTTTCTTGGAGCACGTGGAACTAGAACAGTCTACCCCAGTGAGCCAAATAAAGTTCGACATTCCAGCCACCTGAAGAAGGCCGGTGTGTATAACGGCCGAAACGTTGTAATAAATATGGCGACAAAGATGAGGACAATAGTCGGAATAATGTAAATAATGTACATAATACCTACAGATCTGACGATTTCATTTAGCATGAAACAGACTGTCGCCTCTAAGTGTTGACTTCTATGTTCACTTTTATATTTATATGTATATAAATATGTACATATGTGTGTCTGTGTGTCTGTGTGTGTGTGTCTGGATATTATTCTGAAAAAGGTGATATGTAGATGAGTAGCTTGTTGTTTAAAATTGACCTTCTCTTTTCTGATTACTTAGGAAATCTATATTGAAATTCTGTTTCGTTTTCCTGCCATTTATATTTGCTGTTAGAAATGGTTGCTGACAAATTACAAATTCGCTGTGATCCATGCCCCCATTTTATGCCGTAATATCGTCCGCTACGCTACCCCTGACTTAAAAACCCTTTTTACGGTTGACGTCTGAAGATCAATATTCCATAATTTGTGCATAAAAATCGCTTTCCACGAGAAAAACAAAACTGACCTTTCTATCTGTAAGCAGAGTTATAAATTAAAGCACACCCACAATTCTTCAACTGTTAATGGTTTTACCACAAATTTATCAGGAAAAAAAAGCTATCTAGTGTAGAAACGGAGTGATAAAAAATATTTTCGGCTTTCTCGAAAGTAAATGTACATGTCTATTAACAAGGGAAATATATCAGCCCAAAATACAAATAACCAAGAGGCCTGTTATGTGAATTAATGTAGACATGATTCCTTGAAAACTGACACTAATGAAAGAATACGGATTATCTCCGGGGGTTGTGTGGTGGCTAGAGGTACATTTCTAAAAGATGAACGATGCTTGTACAAAAATCTACCTTTGTAGTGTTTAATATTTGATTCTTCCAGCATCAAATGGATAGATAATGCTGTCCAGTAACTTCCAAAGAAGCCTATTCGATAATATCATATTTATTGAAAAACTAACAGATAATGCCTCAATAGAGACTGCTTGTTCGACATAAAATAAAATGAACTATTTAAATCACTAACATCAGATGATAATTACTTCTGATGTTTGGCTTTTTAGGTGTTACAGATTTCTTAAATACATTATCCGAGTGTAGGTTTTCTCTGAAAGGGTTACTTCGAAGATGTCGTCGTCCTAGCTACAAATGGCGCCTTCCAGGTTTTCATAATGTCACTAAAGCGAGGACATGTTATCAAATGTTGTCTTCGGCAGAGTGGTCTATTTGTAGTTGCTACTTTCACCGCTGTTTGTCCGTTCAATAATTGTCGTCACGCCTCGAGGCTGGGCTCACTTGTAAATGTAACTTTAATTATGGAGTCTTCGGAAAACGAATCACTGAGTGAAACGAAATTCAGGAGAGAGACAAAAACGAGAAGAAATGGGATTTGGGTAAGGGAGGAAATGGCGGAAAAGAACAGGAAAGGCATTAAGACAAAAGGGAATCAGAGTGACAAAGAAAAAGGAATTTAAAAAGAAGAGAGGAGAGAGAAAGAGAGTGAAGAAATGGTAAATATGTTACTATTTCTTATCTCTCTTCTGAAAAAGAAAGAATAGAGTGAGAGAGAGAAATAGAGAGAGAAGGAGAGACATAAAGAAAGTCAATGAGAAAAGTGGAAACTAAAAGAGAGAGAGAAAAAGAGAAAGAAAAATACGAAAATAGAAAAGAGAGAGAAAGAAAGAGAATAAGAATTAAAAAAAAAAGGCATGAAAAACAAAAGGAGAAAACACGAGAAAAAAAGAGAGTAAATTAGAGAGAGAGACATAATTGAGAAATAAGATGAAAAAGAAAAATCCGTAAAAAGAGAGGAGGGGGTGAGAGAAGGAAAAAGGATGAGATCAAGAATATAAAAGAAATGAAATGAGATAGAGAGATGTTCAGATGAAAGAAATAAAAGCAAGAAATGTGAGAGAGACAGATATAAAGACATAGCAATGAAAAAAGACGAAAAGGTGAAATTTGTAAAGAAGAAAGATGGAGGAGAAGAAATGGAGTAAGGAGATGAAAAAAAAAGAAAACGCGATATGAAGATAGAGAGAAAAAAAATAATGAGAGAAAGAAACAAAAATGAAAGAAAACAAAAAGAGAACGAGACAGAAATCATGAAGAAATATCATGAAAAAAATAAAAAGGAGGTGACGACATAATAGAAAATGAGAAAGAAAGAAAGAAAGAAAGAAAGAAAGAAAGAAAGAAAGAAAGAGTCGGAGATTGAGGTATAATGGAAAAAAGAGAAAAAGAAAAAACAGAAAGTGTGTATGCGTGAGAGAGAGAGAAAAAAGAGAGAGAGGAAAAGAGAGATAGGAAGAGAGAGAGAGATAATAGGAAAAGGAAAAATTGAAAGAGATCAAGCAAAACAAAAAAACAAAGGGTGGGGTGACTGACACAACAGTGAAAGGAAAAATGAAAACGAGAAACAGAGAAAGAAAGCGGAAGTTAGAAACATCATGGAGAAAGGAGAAAACAAATGGAGAAAGCCAGAATAATGGGAGCGAGGGGAAATAAAAGCATAATGGCGAAACTAGAGATGTACAAGAAAGAAAAGAGAAACCTGAAATAATGAAAGAATGGATTACAACAAAGATGAGAAAAAAAAAAACAGGTTGGATTGGTGTAACAGAGAAATACGGAAAATGGTAATCGCAACCGGAAGCTAGAAGCTAGAAAGAGAACGAAAGATAAAAGTCAGCAAAGGCATCTCCGAATCGGCGTGAAAGGTAAAACAATTGAAAAGGACAGACCAAATAAACTAGACATGAAACAAAGATGGCGACGAAGAAAATCAAGTGAAATAAAATCGAATAGATGAGGACGAAATCCATAAAGTACAATAAAATATTTTGCTGAACTCAAAACAAGCTAAGCAGTGTAGAAAGCCTTAGCAGGAAAAGCTTGTTGCCGGCAGGCGTCGCGTAAACCTATTTTCTAGCGAGGGAAGATGAGAATAACGATGACAATGTTACTTTCTATCGATACTAAGACCAGAGCAAGGGTCAGGATCGCTCGTAAATATTCAGTCATTCGTAAATATTTACTAAGTTAGTCTGATTCAAGAGGAAAACAACGAAGTAACATTGTATGATCAAATATACGAATTACACTTTGCGAGACTCTATTGACTATCAAAACAATACCTATTTAAAAACAAGATCTCGTTTAAAAACAATGCCTGTCAAAGTGCGAATGAAACTTCCTGTAGGGTCAACAACCAGCTAGTAAAATGATGTAAACTGATCCCCGTATATATCTATGCAGCCAGTGCAGTGAGTAGAAGCCATAGGTGAGCGGAAGGCTTCCTAAACTGAAATCAACGACCAGGGCAGACGTTACCATCGATTTGAATCAACAGTCACGTGTCAGTGACCAAGACGAACCTTCAAGGTAGATGGCGTCTGCTATGGTTTTAGCAGGAAAGCAATTAGCTGCGTCATGTCTACTTTGCCGAAACCTGCTACATATGAATCGATACTTCTTCGGCTTTCGACCGAGATATGCGGAGGTAATCATCGACCCTAAGACCACAGCCGGTCCTGCAACTGATAATAACTAACATAGTACGACAGATGTTCTCATAAACTGATTAACTACTAAGAATTGTCGAATTTATCACACGTCTAAGGTGCAGAGTAAGATTCAAGCACGCTATCAATGACTAATACAACTTCATTTGCCTATCATGGTTCAAAGGTCGAGTTGAAATAGAAATGTGTGGTAAGGATATCTTTAAAAATCTCGCATTATTGGTGGCATTCCAATATTTACTGAAATGTTTTTAGTTTAACAATAATCTATCTAAATAGAGCGTCAAATAAGGATTGAATTCAGTTTTATTATATTACAAAATCTAAGTATGGATTTCCCAGCCTGGGCGATATTGTCCACCAGTGGGCGATTTCAACTGTTGGGTGGGTGATGAGCAACTGGATAGAAAATAATAGGCGATTGGAAAACTTGATAGACGATATAAGATGTTGAGTATCAAAAATAATTCCATATATGCTACCCGAAAAATAAATATTTAAAGGATATATGCAAAGAACATGTATTTTAAAAAAAAACCCAAAAACACGAGTTTAAATACGAATAACTCGGTCACATTATTTACATTATTCGGACTATTGTCCTCATTTTTGTCGCCATATTTATTATAACGTTTCGGCCATTGTGCGCTCCGGCTTTCTTTAGGTGGTTGGAATGTCGAATTGAACCCTTTATTTCGCTCACTGGGGTAGATTGTTTTAGTTCCACGGGCTCTTATATTTAGAATCGGAGAGAGACAGTGAACATTTCTAGGGAACATAAGGAGAAAAGAAGGCTTGGGGAATTTGATACTCACATGACATACTGAAGGCAAGAGAGAGAGAGAGGTGGGGGAATGCAGCGAGTACCCTACCTGACGAGCTTTTATAAAGGGTTGACAGAACAGGGAGTGGAGAGATGATGAGAAGACAGACCTTACTAAGAGCTACAAAGGATAGGAAGTTGTGGAGTGTCATGATCGCTCGCGTCCTGGTGGTTCACAGAGTTTATTCTGGTACAAAGCCAAATTAGTAGGACGCAAATACCTTTCGTCAATTTCACTAACAATGGCTTTCGAGAGTAACTTGTAATTTATTGCTCCAGATCAATTGTTCACGTTTAGCCTAAAATAAAGGCAGGGGTGAAAAGTTCAGTCTTGAGTCGTGAATTACGAATGGAAAATCCGAACTATCCATTTCTTTGGACATTTTAAATTTAGTCAGTTTTGGAGAATACGAACCAAAATTATAAAAAAAATATCGTTGTACTTCAATTGACGATACAACATTCAGATTCTTCAATATATTGCAATATTGCTTATTTAATTTTAGAAAAAGTACCCACGGGTTTTCTTTTCTCTAAATTAGAAATAATGTTACATTTTTTCAGTAGTATTTTTAGGAAAATATAATAAAAAGTTTCTTCGGTGTGTGACTGAGGCTAGTTATGATTTCTTATCGGTAATTTGTTTTCTTTTTCATCCTGACACATTCAAATTGATTTATTCAAATATTATTCAAATATTTTCTTCCAATTTTTTATATTGCGAAATATTTTTAAAAAATAATGAAGTAAATATCCTGTATGTATAAAAGAAAAGACCTTTTTTCTAAGTATACTCGTCTGCTATGTCGTCCAGATAATCCCTGTTGTAGACGCCTACTCAGGCACATTGTTTCTTCAACACCCACAGAAACAACCTGTGGTTCTTATTGCAACTATGCTAAGTGGATCTTCGCTACAGTTTCTGTGAGATAGAGAGAGCATATAATTTGGTGGGATCAGTACTTTAACAAGGCGAACACTCTGAAACCCTCGGTCACGATGACTTCTAACTTCGTGCTAGTACAACCATCGTCAACTTCTAAATAGATCCGTCTACCAAATTCTACTTACAGATGAACTGGTTTTCAGACACTTCCCAACGGTGACCCCCCCCGGCAAAAACAATTTTATCAAGATGTCACGCCATAATATATCGACTATGTTAAAATTCTAATCCGAGTCTCTTTGATGGGAAAACCAATGGTTTAACAACTCAGCCACACTCAGCCAGTTTGTTTTTTTTTATTTTCTTTTTTGAAAACCTCTTGAAAAATTATATACTTTTATTTTTAACATATCCAGTAAACAAGGACACAGTGTATAAAGGTGTTAGTTAGATCCAGTGACAGGACCCAAAGTTAACGCAGTGGAGAACTTTCAGAGGGAAATTAACAGGAGAAAACTGATAATTGACATCAATTAAACATGGCACGTGGAATTAGAATAGTCTACCACAGTGAGTGAAATAAAGGGTTCAGTTTAAATTCTTGAAATTCAAAGTTAACTGTAAAACGTGGAACCAGAAAAAGAGTTTAAGTGATAAGTGTGAGAAAAAAGAAACTTTTAGTATAGAACCTACGGTTACATCTCTCCAATTCAACTGTAAATTGATGAGACCTTGTTGCTAATCTAGTACTGCCCTTAAATTCATAAAACCTAGGAAACATAGCAAAGAACTCATCAGAACAATTACCATAAAAGTATTTATAGAAAAGGCACAGAGAAGCAACTTTACGGCGGTGGGAATGTAAGTGACTGAAGTCAGGACCAATAATACTGCTGATTCTTCTTTGGATTTTATCAAGGATCTCGAAATATATAGCAAGTGCATCAGATCATATGTGGCAGACATTATTCTAAACATGGACGAATGTCTGCCTTATAGATATGTGAGATAATGGAATATGCATACACCTGTGTTTCCCCTGACTGGAATATGATTGGCTGGTGTCCGTCATAAATACCGACGGACGTGTGGGAGAGTCAGAGACGTAGTCTGAGAGCTAAGTCTATAACGACGCCCATTGGACTACGCCATTGATCTACACTTCTTACCTGCGACTACGACGCGTACTAGTCGATTAC